GTAAAGTCGCAGGTTAGAGGGCAAACTAACCACAAAAACCCCCCTAAGACGCCCATCAGGAATACTTCCGGTGAAATTCCGGTTGAAATCAAGGACACTCCAGAAAAGGATAACTCCGGTGAAATCCCGGTCGAAATTAGGACACCTCTGGTGAATTCTGGTTGAAAAATTAGGGTATTGGCATAAACTAGTAACACAAATAAATAGTTAATTAGCTCATGTAAATTCTTAAATGTAGGGGACCTAACAAAGTTAAAAGGCCCCGTTAATTAAACGAGTTAATAAGTAAATCGTACCTGCAAAGATCATGCTGGCAGGTGTTAAAAAAAACAAAATGGCTTAGATTTATTTGTATTATAGATCTATCTTTTCGTGAAGCCATCGTGGTGAATTAAGCCATTAAGCAAACTTGTAGCCTCATAACATACTTTAATAATATCGAATGGTCTAACAGCTTTTGTATTACGATTTACTTATTAAGCAAAATCATAATATAAAAGCTGCTAGATTAAAATTGAACCACTCGATATTATTAAAGTACCATTGTGATACGTTCACATGTAAGTGCAATTGCGCCATAAATCCCGTGAAATACAAACACCACTACGTTCGAGGCTTTGGATATTTGGTCATAACATGAGGCTTGTTGGCCGAATCATGTTAATTGCAATTTCAGTAATTATAATAGAGACCTGAGTTACCTCAATAAACAAACACAAAATCAAACATAGAGAAAATATACATGAAAGAGAAGGATTAAGCAAAGGATAGTGTAATGAAATAGTAAAATGAAAACTTACTTAGCAAAAAAGCTCCTTCCTTCACACTTGAATAACATTAGAGAAAGCCTCTTCTCCTTACCAAAAATGAACTTTTTAATAAGTTTTTGCTGTGGATTAGGTGAGTTCAATATTAAAAGCCTCTTGTGCTTCTTAACATTGTAGAAGTTATAAAAACACTATATAAAAAAAACAAGAACCTTCAGGTTAAATAAATAAAATACAAAATAAAATACAAAATATACTAATAAATTCCTAAAGATATAAATTCTAAATATTTTACTAAATCACCACATTAAGCTTCTGGTAAACTGCTTAATTCTGCTTTGTAAATTGTCTTCTTTTCATTTGTTAAGCTTGTATTAAATCTGCCCATAACAATACTAAAGCCACAAGTTTCTTAATAACTTGTTTATACTTCTTTTTTTTTTTTTTTTAAGGTGAGGTTTTGCCTTTATCTTTATTAATATTTTGTATTGAGAATCCACTATGGGTTTC